GCCAGAACGCTAAAGTAAAAAGTAAATATTTTATGCTCTAAATTTTTAATGTAGAATAACGTTGTTAATACTGTGTGAAATTATATGCCAGTCGAAAAGCCTTATATAGTAAATTCAATGTTTTATGTATTGTTTATATAAATTACTCATAGTCCAACCCTATAGTAAATGTATGGCATTTTATGGCATTTGTGCTACGAACCTTAAAATATTTTCAATTACAATAGACTTTTATGGGCACTCAAAGGCGAGAGCCAAAAATTAAGGTATAACCGGTGATTTTCAATACAAAATAATCCATTACTTGCCAACTAAAAGGGGTTGCGGAGGAATATGCGCAAAACAAGGGGGAACTAGAAAACTTTTCCAACTGCCGCAAGCAAGGCACATGCAAAACCTACAATATAGACACAAACAGAATCGACATGTCGACTGAATGTTTTATGGACAAAATTCGCAAAGACTATTACAAAGCTGTTGCTCTCACCTAAGTGTGTAAACACACAAAGCCTTGCATAAGCTGTGCAGATGTAAAATTGCAATGCAGAAAGTAATATTTGTCAGCTTTTATGTGCAATATAAGGCATATAACAATAAAAGTATGGAAAAAATTGGGATGGAAGAAAAAATACAATGAATACAAATCGTTTGTTGAAATCCTAAGCAACCAAAGCAAATAAAATGTGTATGTCAGTGATGACAACAAAACTGTAGACAAAGTGAAAATATGAAAACCGCTAACAGCGAATGCCAAGTTGAAAGAAACTTAGTAGCTAAGTACAAGAATAAAAACAAAAAAAATTGTTTTCCACAATTGATAAAATGGCAAATGGCATTGAAGAAAAACTTTTAGCGTTCCCAAGTGTGTATTAACAACTAAATGGCAGGCATGTAAGAACAACAATATCTACACAATATCACTAAAAACTCCAACATCGTTACAACAAATCGAAAGCAAACGTTAACGTTAATGACCCAGATTTTTGTATACTGCTTCTGCTTTATTTTACTTCATACACCAGCGCATTGACCATAAATTTTCGTTGTAAGCGCAAAACTCAAATCTAAAAAAAAATTACCGTTGTTGGTCATAGTTTTGCATGAAGTCGGCAGGCGGCCGTTCAACTACTCGCTAATGTTAAAAAAATATATAAAGAACGTGTGTAATAATTGCGGTAAAAGAGTAAAGCGTTGTTTAACACACGCATTGAAACCACCAAGCTGTGTTCAATACGAAAATGACAAAAATATCTGTTCAACTAAACTTCGAGCAACCAAGCTAACAACAGATAACAGTCCAAAAACGTGGCGTACTTGGTGTCAAACCACCACCCACGGCAGAAGAAGAGCTCGAGTTTCCTTGTAAATCTAGAGTGAGTGCAATTTCGTTCTGAATATTGTAACAGGTTAAGCTCCTTACAATCCAGAATCGACCCCGAATACCAAATATGCATACATATGTCCTGGGTGCAATGACGTTAACCCTCTTTGAATGCCCAATGAATCTCACTCATCTAACATTCCTCTCCCTATGATCCAAACCCGTCGACTTAAACAGCTTGCCGCTACATCAACAAAGTGTAAGGAAATTTTGCTCGCGGCATGTGCTCATAAAAACATCAAATTTAAACAATTTCAACCGTGAGAAACGTAGAAAAAACATACGTTTGTCCCGAGACTTATATTTACATCTTCAATTGGGTCTACAAGCCGGAACGAGTTATGGTAAATGTATGTCTGGAGATAAGTTTTATGTCACAAACACAATAGTTATCGATTTATCTTTTTCCACATGTCGCTAGACACCATCAGGGATCATGGCAGCGTAAACTTAAAAATATGTCTGTTCATCTCAGACTTCAATTATTTAGTTTTTTTTTTTTTTTCTTGACAGGGCTCGAGACAATATCCTTTAATATTTTGGCCAATTTGTTAATTTAAAAAATCAAGTGAATTTTAACAAATTATTAAATTTGTCCACCTAGTCTACGACGGAAACGAATTGTGAAGTGAAAAGCGTTAAAAATGTCGTTTATATAACAAATTTCCGTCAAGCAGTGTACTTGCTTAGAACTTATAGGGCACTCAATGTTAGCTGGCAAGCATAATGAGTTAGGTATGCAATTAAGTCCTCCTCGCAGTGATTGAATGTGTAGACTGGTTTAAATCCCAGCGGATTAGTAGAAAATGAATTTGAAAACAAGCCAAATGATAAGTACGTAAGTAAAAGTCAGTAGGACATGAAAAAAAAGTAAATAAATAAATGGGTGGGGAATGTTATTTCAAAATTTTTTTATTTAAATGCGAAAAAATTCACATAAAAATATATATGCTTTTGTGTTGTTATATAAAGTTTGTAGCGAAGTTTGTAACACCCAGGAATTAAGGTCGGAGATGCTATAAAATATACATATATACAAATGATCAGCGTGACGAATTGAGTCGTTTTAGTCATGTTCGTTTGTTTGTATATACGCTAACGAGACCCTCAGTTTTTGAGATATCAATTTGAAATTATGCACACAACTATTAACGGTTATTTTGGTTTTACAATAAATTTTACAGGGTAGAAAGTTATCGATACCTTGAATCAATATTGATTTCAACTGTGTGCTCTTATAGAAGACTACCTTCAACTAAACTAAAATTTTCTATTAATATATAAACATATTTTGAAAATTTTACATGTCAAAAACAACACCATAAAGTTGAAGTATATTTTGATTCATTAATTTCTTAACTCATAATAATCGGTATATATTTCTAACTCACTTTAGTCGATAAAGTTTACCCAGCGCATGAAAATGTAATTTGGAAGTAATAAATTTTATCGATTTTATTTGCATTCCAATTAGGTTACTAGCACAGCATACAACCACGTGTAATTAAGTATATATGTATGTAATTGGCTATGTAAATATATATGGATTTACAAACAAATAAAGATAGCAGGTATTAAAAGATTTGTCGTAGAACTCGCCGTACAAAAATATTTTAACTAATATTTTTAAGGTATGTTAAATATAACAAATTAAATATCAAAAACAGATGTTTATTAATACCTATATGAATGTATGTACATTTAGTAGGCGGCAACAGGAGAATATTTCTGATATCATCTAGAGAGGGACAGCAAGCTTCCTGAACATATATTGTATATTTAAGTCAAATCCATTAATAAATACCATAGATGTTACGATTCATTTTTTAGTAGGTAAAATAACTCCTCTATTATCTGAATAGTAAAAAAAGAGACAAATTCTTTGATTTACATAACTAAACTTTTTCTACATATATAAACATATATGTGCCAATAGGTGTATGTTTATATGTATCCTTTGATCAAAAGGTCAATGAAAACTTCACAAAGTGGCAGCTCTGCACTTGATATTTACGCACGTAACACTACAGGGATGATAACACTGAAACATTAAAACGATATAGGGATAGTGTGAAATGGCGAAAAAAGCGTAGGAGTGCGATACAGAGAGTGCACATAAAAAAAACATGTGATTTCAATAGAAAATATGAAACGTTCTCAATTGTGCGATTTCATTGCATCGATTTAAGGTATGCTCTTTGAAAGCGTGCTCCCTAGCGCTCTCTTTCTCACTGCCATGACCTTTTTCGTCAGCTGATAGTGCGCATACGCTATGTGTAAACACCCCCTTAGGTTGTGATAATTTTTTTCTGTATTTGCAGTTTATGCTTAGTTCTTCTATTTTATTTAATTTTTTGTTGGTCTCATTTAACCCTTTTCATAACATAAAAGTGTTATTTTGTTTATATACTTTCATTAATTTTTTAAAATTTGGTTTGAAAATGGAAATGTATGCCGTGCGGAAGTACTCCCCCTTTTGTACAATGCTTTTTTTATTTCGATGCATTCTTGTTTCCTGTTGTTGTGGTTGTGGTTGTAGTAGAGGTTATTATCGCTATTTGATAATGTTTTTGAATACGGATGCAGAAAACAAAGACTTACAGAGGAATTCATAAATGGAAACAAAATCAGCGCATGGTTAATCAAAATAACAAAAAAAAAACACTATACGGTTAGTAGAAATCAACGCCTCAAAAAAAAATCTGAACCACAGGTTTAACCAATATTTGCTTTGAAGAAAGAATCATTCAATTTTTGTAAGAAATTTAAAATGGAGCTCCAGCTCTGGCCATATTCGCGATGGTGTAGTTATACGCACAAATGTTAAAATTTTGTGCGTACAAATAAAGCACAAAAGGCAGAGGCGTTAAAAAACGCGTACGAAAAGGCAAAAAGTAAAAAAAAAATTTAGCTAAAAAAGTGATATATAAAAGTAAAAAATTAATTGGAAAGAATAAGCTAGTAGCTACGAAAATATATGAACGTTTTTATGTGCGTTTGGAACATGCTTTATTTTTAAAAATCCATTGAGTAAAGTGTATTCTGTATTTAATGATAGAAAACCACTGACGTTGTATTTTTTCTTTACTCTTTCAAGTAATAAATAGTTGCAGTTAAGCCTTCAAGTATGTATAGATTGGTTACAAAAATCTAGAAATGAAATTTAAAGACATTGATTTTTCCACATATTTCGCATTCATTTATTGCTTTGGCCACTCAGACAGCAGCCAGGAGAATAAGCCGCAATAAAAACCGAAACACAAAAGCAAGGCTGAACCAAATACAGCACAAGGTGGTCGGAGTAGGAGACAAAAATACATGCGAGTACATATGTATATAAATCTTTGCGCATGGCACCACCACGTCTTGCTTCCTGCTGCATAATAACCGCTACACAATGTACATTTTTCCTTTGAAAGTGTGCCTACCAACCAATCAGTCGGACACAACCACCAAGCTATTTTATACCACCCCACATACGACCCATGGAGCACAGCCAAATTCATTGATTATTCAAATACAAATTGTTAAACCATAAAAAAAAAACATGCTTATACGAATTTTTTTATATAGTATGTTTATATATACATATATAATGTTATCTTTAGTGTATACTTACTTGCCAACGAAATTCTCCAACACAGAACTCTTTCCGGCCGATTGGCCGCCTACGACAGCGATCTGTGGCAAATCAAGCTGCATATGCACGCCCAATTGCGTGAATGCATCTTGTAGCTTATTAACAATTGGAATTAGTTGCTCCATTTTGCTGGTAGTTGTACTGCTTGGGCCTCTGCCCTGACTCGAAAAGTGGCTGCCTTACGGCCACTGATTACTGCGCGACTACGTTTATAGATTATTCGGTTGTTGTAACTGTTTTTTTTTTTCTTAATTCGTTTGTGTTATACCTAAATAAAGTTTTATTTTACAATTTACACATTTAATTTTTTCGTTAATTTCTAGACATCACATAGTGGTGTCCAGAAATTTTCGCATACACTGCACTAGCGATTACGCTTTTATGTACTGCGCCCACTTTTTTCTTAATCACTTTTTTTTTTTGCCTGAGGTCTTCACAATTTGTCACCACGTACTTTTACACAATGTTGAAAGCGATTGCGAGTATTTTTCGATTATTTGTATATTAAATATTTTTAATTTCAACAAATGGAATAATTTTCAGCACTTTATGGAATTATTGGAGAAAAAAAGTATACGTTCTTTCCTCACATCCACTTCTTTGGTATCTATCACGATTTTGATTCGCCCTCGACTGATTTCGATTTTTCGTTCCTTGCTTTGAATTGCTTTTACGTTACCATTCTTTTTCATCCGTTAATTCTACTTTTACTGCTGCTTCTTCTTATTTTGACAATTTTAACGAATAGCTTCGCAAAGAGAAATTTAAGAGAAAGCAACACAAAGCAGAATAAATAAATAAATGACACGAAGAAATTACAAAACAAAAAATTCCAATTGTCAAAAATCGAAAGAAAATATTACACACTATTGAAAATGAACAACAAAAAGAAAACAGCAACCAACAAACAAGTGTCATAAATGTACCAAAGCAGATGCTTTTGTTAAAATATTTCAAAACGCGCAAGTTACGTTTACGAGTAGAATTAAAGCGAATCCGGCTGCTAATTACTATTTCATTGCTATCTGACGCTGATTCATAATGGCAGTTCGGCTATCGAACAATACTTTCTCTACCGCACCCCACTTCGGCGTCTTTTCTAAAACTGCATTTTACTTTCTTTAATCAGAAAAGCTCATTTGTAATTATACACATGTATACATATGGTTATTAACCAATTTCAGGGCCAATTCACACCATCACTTGCAAAAACTTTGAGTTCGTTATTTCCTAGTTAAAATTTTTGTGGCTCGCCATTTACCGTTTTCTATGTATTTCACTGCGATTGTCAAATTGGAATGTATAAATTCAAAATGCTAGTACACGTCAAGTCACTATAACTTATTTTTTTGTTGTATAAAATGCTTTTGCATTTAAAACTTGTTTACTTTATCTGCAACTACTATGAAATTAATAAATCGTTTATACAGAAAATTTTTAGAAACACCAACGGCGGTGCACAAAGCAACTGAGCAAATTCGGAAAAAGAATGCTACCACTGAGCAGCTTATAAGTATGATGAGCTTTGCCAACCAGTTTCAAAAACAAAATTTAACTAGTCGAACTGATAAAAAGCAATTTTTATTGCACAGAACTAATTGTTAATACATGCATTGTTTTTATTATATAGTGAACATAATAAAAAATTATATAATTTTTACTTATATTTATTAATTCTTTGCTTATAAGAATATGCTCTAACTTTTGCGGGAACATATGTTCAAATATATTCAGTATTATCAGAGAACATTCTCTGGTAATAGATCATCGCATCAATTGTGAATATATTCATTACATATTTCTACGTTAATATTTAACAAAATAAATTGTTCAATGTGGTTATGATACTTACTTTCAAAGCAACAGCAACAATAATTCTATATAATATAGTTATTTAAATTAATTTTATTCATGTCAAAACATTAAATTTCTCGAAAACTAAATTTAGTAAAATGCAACACTATTTTATTCGTAATAGCTTAAGTTACTGTGCAGTGGCGGTGAGACGGAAGTATCGTCTAAATGTCAACTAGTTGATATAGTTCTTTTCGTTCTAAAGTTTTTAAACGAAAGTTGTATTTTCTTGTGCTGTACACGTTTCGTGTCAAAAAAAAGGACTTAAAAGTAAGTTTATAAGAAAAAAATTAAAGCTAACGCGAACACAACTATCAGTGCATAATATTTATATGTTATTGGTTGCCATAAATGCAAGATGTTGAGGATTTTAAAAGATAAAAATTTTGCATTTCTCGAAGTTGGACAGCAGTTGTTGATAATGGAGCTGAAATGTTATTGTGCGAAAACTTTTGCCTAATACGCAATTAGTTTCTGATTGTTGAGTTTTACTAAAGAATTGATTGATATTTGCTTTTAGAATGCGTTACGTGGCTGCATACTTGTTGGCTGTTCTTGGCGGCGCCGAAAACCCCAAAAATGCCGATATCGAGAAGATCCTCAGCTCGGTCGGTATTGAAGTTGACTCCGAACGCCTCACCAAGGTTGTCAAGGAATTGAACGGCAAGTCCGTCGAAGAATTGATTGCCCAGGGTCGCGAGAAACTCTCGTCCATGCCTGCTGGTGGTGCCGCTGCTGCTGTAGCTGCTCCAGCTGGTGGTGCCGCTGATGCTGGTGGCGACAAGAAGGAAGCCAAGAAAGAGGAGAAGAAGGAAGAATCTGAGTCCGAGGACGACGATATGGGCTTCGGTCTCTTTGAATAAGTTATTAATTCTTTGTAACGGGGTCCACTGGCAATTGCTGGTGCAACTAAAAACGTGCATAAACTTCTGGGTGAGTCATTGCTAAATTAAGTTTTTTTTTACATTATTGTGATGAATTAAACTTCACCATCTTTCGACTGAGAACAAACGTTGATGTCACATAAGTTTTATACTGACTAAATATACAACAAAACTATTTGATGTATAAATTAATGTGTACATAATTGCTAATTGAGTTTTTATCTTATTTACAGGTTACTGCTCAAGCTTCAGTCAACAACGTCAGCATGGGAGGGTTTAAAATGAATGTCGATTTCCTTGCAGAAAGCACAACTGTGTTTTTTTCCAAGGATATTTACAAACTGACAACCTATACAACATAGTTGAAATTTATTTCTATGAAATAAAAGAAATGAAAGTTTTACACGTTTAAAATTACAATTTTTAATTTAAAAATTTGGGTATAAGTAATAGGGCATTAACAGAATTGGTGGTTGGAGAAATTGTTTTAATATTGTATGGGAAGTTGTGAATTGTACAATTTTAAAAAATTAAATTTCAATTTCAAGAACAGTATACATATAGCTAATACATGACTACATAAGTAAACAAAGATGAAGGAAATTGAGATCTATGCCGCTTGGTGCAAACATACGAGTTTATTTCTTTGGAACAACACAACCAATAACTACAATAATTAAGGTTAGTAAAAATAATTTTCCACATAAATATATATGTGAATTTCATAAATAACTTAATTTTGTTTTAACTTGATAACTTATGATGAATAAAACTTTCACCATCTTTCGACTGAGAATAAACGTTGATGTTACATAAGTTTTTAACTGATTAAATAAAAAAAAAATGAATTACTTTCGTATTTAGCTATGAAAAATGCTAATAACAATTTCTTCTATTTATTTTAGGTTAATATGGGACTGCTACCGAACAGGGTCAATATGATCAACATACCGATTTACTATTTCTTTTCAGCTACTATGAGGTTTCTTAAATTATAAAAAAATATATATTATTAATAAATAAATTAAAGATTTTTTACACTAAAATTACGATTTTATGTTATTAAACGACATGTATAGTTATTGTATTTATTAACTTGTATAGTTTTGCACAATTGCTATTTGTCATTTCCATTTCGTTTGTCGTCTTGATCTTCTAATATATAATCTTCAGACTCCAACAGTCTTCGTTGCGCAGGTGTGAGCACAGTGGCAGCTGCTGCTTCCAAAGCCGCTTGTTCAGCACGTTCATCCATCCATTCAGACGCACGATCGTGTCTTTTACGCTCTGGTGTATTTTTACGTTCACGTCGTTTAGCCAAAAACTTTTCAAAGCTTGCTGACTTTGCCGCCGCCTCAGCAAGCTTTTGTTGAATTTGCTCAAGCGATTCCACAGTATTACCTGCCTCGTTAGTACTAACAGTGTCGCTATCTTTTCTCGAATGCTGTTCCCAAGCATGTTGTGATTTTCGCATTTTCGTCAATATTTTGGACATGATATGCTGATGATCTAGGCCAAGTACATCTTGTCGCATTTCAGGAAATTGTTCCTCGTTGTCACACTTATTTGCATTTGCTTCGCTTTTATCATTTTTGCCATAAAATTCACGTTGCATCAGATTTGCCACCAAATTGTGTTGCACTTGTTCATCTACAGCTTTTATATTTTCCTCTGCTGTGTCTTCTGGTGTGCCAAAATCAATTGTGCGCAAAAGCTCTTCCACTTGTGCGATATTTGACAATTTTTTCTCACGTGCAAATTTAATCCTTGGAACTTCACTCATTAACATTAATTGTGACAGTTCATGCCGTAAACGTCCACTACAACGTTGCAATTCAGTTTCGAGTTGGGCATCTGCTAAAGGCTCACCACCAGCTAACCAATACACGTTAATATATGCGAAATCTGGTGAGATCTTTACGCGTGTCACTTGCAAACCACGTCCTAATATGGACTCCGAAGCTTCTCCAGTTGCCAATAGATCGGTTATGTGTTTCATAAACAATTTGTTCAATACCACCATACGACGTGTCGTATTTTTGCCACTACCGCTACCACTGGATTTCGTTATATGCGCACTGTTAAACATTTCAGCGTTACGCTGTCTAGTTGAATTCGACGTATTTAAATCATTACTGGGGTACCAACGTTTTTTGCTTCCTGATATACGGTGACCAACAAGTTTACTTATTACCTTGCTCTGAAACTTGATGTTATCAGCTTTTGAATAGCTAATGCCTCCACCAGCGGTTGAAATATGGGCATATCCTTTCGAACTCCATTCTATATGTAGCAGGTGTTGATTGCAGCGAGGCACATTTCTTAACATTGCACCGCAGATAGCAGTAATCTTTTAATATTTTATATTATATTTTGATATTATATATTATGTACTGATATTATGTATTAATTTTCTGTGGCTAATTTGCGTAGTGCTGGAGGGCAGCGCAACACATCAGCTGTTTATTTGTTTACAATTGTAGGGGTGGAAATACAGTTAATGGAGTAGCAGTGTTGCAATTGTTACCTAAAATATATTCAAACATTTTTTTAAATTGAATTTTGTATTTATCTTTTGTTAGTTTTAAAAAATTTCATTTCAAAAATCATAAAAATATAATTGTAATAATTTTTTTAAATTGAATTTTGTATTAATCTTTCGTTAGTTTTTAAAAATTTCATTTCAAAAATCATAAAAATATATTTACTTATAATATTAAAATATCAACAAACAGAAATTCTTTTAAAGTTTTATTATTTTTATAGCATACATTTTTTAAAAACAATTGTAATTTCATACTTACGTTTATTAAGATTGAAATTATTACGCCGATTCACCAATCGTATTCATTATTGCATTTGATTTTATTATACACATTTTATTTTGTTTACACTTCCTATATATTAAAATATCGTACATTGTAAGTATTTTACAATATTTTTTCAATAGCGTGTTTATTTATAAATAAATTATAGTATTTATATACATTGATTTTTTATTAACTTTCATGCTATAGTCGGAATGCCACTACAGCTTTTCAGAATGCACTTATTTCTTTTAGAAAAATTACACACTTCTATTTAACCACTCTACTATGCCTATGTGTATGTATGTATATATATTATTTATTTTTCTCAATAACGATTTTACAATTCTTAGTTTAATAATAAATGAAACAAATTAATTGTTAATTGTCAAAAAAATATGTGTATATAATAATAAAAATTTATTTATTTTTTTTAGATAAATTTCGAACTCAAAACAGAAAAACAGTTTTATTACGTTTAATAGCGTCAAATTTCGAAAATTTAGCATATTTCTTTAAAATTTGGAACTTGTTTACTTTTGTTAAAACTGTCGTTTTAGCAAGTCAAAATAAGCTATTTAATTTAGTTTTAATATTATTAAATTATTGTACAAAAATTTAAAATTTTCGAAATAAAAATTTTCTTATTTACTTTTTCAGTATTTATTTTCAGCTTACAGTTGTAAAGAATTATTTGTAGATTTTCCAGGAAGATCGTTGATCGATCGACAATTTTTTTATTAAACTTTATAAACCTATTTTAATATGAATTGGTATAAATTATTATTTTTGGTTATAAGAAAAGCAATTATTAACGAGGTATATATAACCAATATTTTAATTTTTATTTGCATACTTTTAGGCTATTTCACAAGAGAATTGATATACAAAATATTTTCAACATAAATCTGATTAACTTTTGCGTAAAGAGGTATGTTTATAAAACATAAACTAATAACTATGTATTAAAGCATTTTTGATGACTAAGAAGTTTTTAAATTAATTTTAATGCAAATCACTGTACGTATGTAAAAAATCAGTTCGGTTTTAAAAGTTATATGGCAATTAACATTACTGAGATTTATTTTCCGGAAAAAATAAACTGCTATAATTATTATATTGAGAATAAGTTTCAATTAATTAACTAAATTTACCGAGTAGAGTAAAAAAAAATCAAACAACAAAAAATAATTAAAATATAGAAAAATGTATATGAATGTACATACATATGTATATGTAAGAAATGCTTTAAATTTTCGAAAATGTATATTTTTTCAACTAATTCTAAAGTTCCACACTTAATACATAGCCTTAATTCTAATACTGAACCACGCTGAATTGATTACTTTCGTTTACGTGGTACTATGGAAAATAATACTACTTATTATTTGGAGTATTTAAAACTTACGTATAATGATTGTTAGCTTATTTAAAAATATACAAAAAAAGCACATGAAAGTTGCATGTATTTGAAATCGTATTAGCAAATCACTATTAAATGTTCAAATGCTCTTCGAAAACATTGAATACCGACTGGTCATCTAGTTTCTGGTTTTCATTGAAAGCAACAACAATTTAAGATATTTTTTTGAGGTTGTATGAATTCATGCTTCGTCAAATTTTCGATTAAACTTAATTGATTCGTTTAATTTTTTTTCAATGTAATTTTTTGCATGTTTTTTATGTTAGTGCTTACTCTACCACTCATTGTGTTCTTTGTATAGAGATTATCGCGCAGACATTTTTTTACTTTTATTTTATATATAAATATAATGTTATACACATTTGTATTTGTAAATATAAGTTTACATACTTAATATAGGAAACCCATGGAACTGAAGCATATGATAGCTAACCGTTATGAAGCGTACATGTGCTAGTGGAAGCTAATGGATTTGCACAAATAATTTTTTGTAAATTAAAAAAAGAAAATCGAAAATCAGTAATAAATAAAAAAAAAATATATAAAAAAAAAGTTAGTTATTATAAAATATTTATTATTTTAAAATTTTCCTATTTGTTTTTTTATTTATTTATAAATGAGTTATTGCAGAAATTTGTATTAAAAGTAAAAAAAAAGTTTTTTTTAGCACTAACACACTGAACGCTTCGTCAACAGTAATTTAGTTGAAGCTTAAAACTATTAACTTAATACTATAGTCAACTAGCTTTAAGTAGTACTAAATTAAAAATGCAAACGTTTTACTTTTGTGCATTAAAATTATGAACTTACTACTAAATATAAATATTTACAGCACGAAAGCATATTCACAATGACTGAATGTGAAAAAAACCACAACTAAAAAATTAATTGTTTTGAAGCATTTTTTTGTAACAAATGCATACTTGGCATTTTGTTTGAAATGGAAAATGTTCGTGTATTAAAAATTAATTGAATATTGTAAATATTACAAAATTAAAAATCGAATTTGCACACAAGCGCAATGTTTTGTCGTTTGTCAAAAGTTTCACGTAAAATATGATACAGCTGCTTTTAACACATTTTAAAATATATAAAAACCTTAAATATAAATGCGATGTGCATAAAAATAAAACCTTTTGCGCGCAGCACAACAAATACGAACATTTAAACTGCGTATGACAATTTGACGTTTAGAAAAATATATATGTAAATTGCATATAGCTGCCGCTACTTATGAATGTAGCAAACTAAAATAATACTTTGTACATCGTAACTTGCTTATGTGTGCACACACAAGAATGATTTACGTAAAATTGAACTTTAAGAATAATAAAATTTTAAAAATAATTCAATATTAATGTATACCATATAATTACTTAAGTAAATTGGCGTTTGCGGTATATTTTCTTATACATACATCAATAGCTTAAGAGTATTTTTACTGTGTTTTTTCGCCGTACGACGCTTAAGTGTACGTGTAGTTGTAGTTGTATATCTCACTCGTAACCGTTGAGAGCTTTTGAACGCTTACTGCTAAACTTTACAAGTTTAACATGTCTTCGTTGCTGTGTTTGAATTAGATGTGTGCCTTGCCGCCAACACCGGCACCGCTCACCAACTGATGCGCCGGAAAGCCACTCGGACTTTCGGCACGCTTCATTTGCGATAACGCTTGTGCCATAGTTGCTGCCGCCGTGGCTGTCATCAAGCCACCACTAGCGGCGCTCACGCTATTCACCGCTGATGAGGCGCCACGTCCGCGCTTACGACGTGGCAATATACCTTTGCGCGCCATGAAGAAGCGTATTGTTGATACTGGTATGTTGAACATGTTGCTGACCGTTTGGAAGGTTTGTCCTTTTGAAACGCACTTTGCTGCTTGTGCCAGTGATGCCTCGGAGCGGCGTACACGTTTCAGCGAACCGGCTATTTCACCGGTATTAGCAGCGCCGCTATTCGCTTGCGCCGCCAGCATGCTGAGTAATGATGCATTGGCTGAGCTGTCGTGTTCAGTGTCTGCGCTAGCGCAATAGCTACTATCCTCATCATGCGCGGCCACGTAGTTATGATCATCTTCTATGGTGGAGTCCAGATGTGCGCCAGCAGCGGCGGCCGCTTGTGTCGTTTTCATATTATTGGCAGCCACTTTTTGCTGCATTCTATATTTATTCTGATCTTCATAGGCCTGATTGGAATTGGAATCATCGCCCGAATCGTCATCCTCGCTGTTGGCATTCGAATTTGTCGTTGCGCTAGCGGCGGCCATGGCTGCGGCGGCGTTGGCCACATGTGCCAATGTTGCTTGCGGCACGCGTTGTTGTTGCTGTTGTTGTTGTTGTGCCAATAGCTGTTGCTGATGTACGAGCTGTTGCTGGTGTTGTAGGTGATTTTGCTGCAAGGCGTTATGCGCGATAGTGCCGTTACTTTGCTGTTGATGTTGTAGCAATTGCTGTTGCTGCAACTGTTCCATTTGTTGTTCATGTTCCATATCCTGTTGAATGGGCTCCTTCTTAATCATAAATGTCTGTTGTTGCTGATACTTTTGTTGTTGCTGCTGCTGTTGCTGTTGCAGCTCTTGCGCCATCATAGCCGCTGCCATGCCGCCACCCGCATGCAACTGTTGCAATGCACTTGCCGCTGTCGCTGTTGTTGTTGTCGTCGAATTGGTAGCGGTATCCGTGTCCGTCTCAATGCCATCCGCATGTTGTTGTTGCGTTGCGGCAACAGCAGCCGCAGCCGCTTTATTCGTAAGCGCTTTCAATTGATTCAAATTCAATGCGGCATCAGAGCCATAGAGACCGCGTATGCGCAACTGTTCGGCACAGCGCAGTAGTTGCGGTAAACCGGCTTGTGTGACATTCACCTCACCTTTGTACATAAAGTCGACTAGCGCCTGGATCTCCCACAACTTGATTTCACTGGGCAATATGATGACTGGATGTTTGCAAGGATTTTCAGCCAAAATGCTATCAAAATACGATGAACATGCGGCCAAAACAAGGCGATGACAATGCACTTGATGTCCCTCACAGGCCAAGGTCACGTCAACAAAACGCTGACCGGCTAAAAGTTGAGGAAATGCGGCGCCGATACTACCCAAATGGCTGTTCCAGCGCACACAAAACTCCTGACGCTGAGACGCGTTCATTGTGGCGTTGCCGTTGGTAGGTAAACCGGGCGTTCAGATTCAGGTACAGGCTTTCGTTAGCTCGAGGTAAAATAATGCTGTTGCCGTGAGAAATTGACGTTTTCACTTAAAACTCGTCGTATATGTATATATATTCGTCCTAGCACTTTTCAATTAGAACTGTCGTGTTTTTTGATTGTAGGGAAGTCTAAACTCTTTACGGAGTCTTAGGGAAGCGCTAATAGTTCTAAGCGACGACAGAGAGTTACCCCTTCATAGTTTATTTGAAGGAGCCGCAATACTAAAAAGAGAAAACATAAACGATATTTATAACAGAACTACTAATATATTTATTGTTATAATTAAATACACGGTATTTGGAGTTTTATTAAAATTTACTAACAACTGCATAACAGGTAATTCACAACTGCCGGGTAGACTCTAATAGCGTTGTATCATAGCTACTTATATACGATTGAGAATTGCATTAAAACTAGCGTTTAATACACTTTTAGTAGTACTGTCAGATTCCTGCTATGGAAAAATTGCAGAAATTTTGACATCACCACACCACTGCAGATACGAGATATTCTTAATCGGAATGCTCAAGTCCACAGTTCTTCCAAGCAGCTGTGTCACTCATTTCTTATGGGTATCTGGATTTTATAAGCGCAATATTTTACTTATAATTCCCGTTCATCAATTAAAATCATTAACATGCACTTTTAGTTAATAAATAAAAAAATATTTTATATACCAAAAGTATGTGAAGATTTAGTTGTTTTTTTTTACCAAATATTCGCCTTTCGAAATTTGTGTTCTTATGCTGCTATCCGCTTCTATTTTTATTAGACATTTAATTACTTGAATTCAAATAAAAATAACCTCATACAGTTCATTTAGCAGATATATGTACATATGTTTTATTATTAAATTTTATGTATTTTGTTGCATAATATATTTAAATAGTAAATTATTTATGTTATAATTATTATCTATTTATTTATATTATTTTTGATTTATTATATTGCAAATTTTAGTAATTTTTTTTTTTTCATTTCATTATGAGCGTTTTTCTACAACCGCCAAATGTTGCTTTAACTTTACTTACTATACACACATACACATATGTACATTAAATCAAACCAAGGACAAAGAAGCAACCAAAATTAGTGTAACTGAAAATTCACTATATTTAACTATAAATACTTAGGTTAGTAGACCATAACCAAATTTGTGAATTAAATATTTAATAGATATATTTTTGTTAAAAACAATACAACACACACCGTTTTGAAAGAAAATTTCTTATTTTTCACATTCTTAAGACATAAATTTTCTGCAGCAAATTTATCTGTGCGCGAGTAGCGAATTCCTTTTTTGCATTTAACAGAAAAGGCCAAATGACAAAGAAATACTGAAATCGAAAAAGTAATAAAATAAAAGTAGCAGCAGCAACAAACAACTACATACAAGCAGAAGTTTAACCAGAGAATGTAAAGCAGAATGGCAACAGCAATTATAACAACAATAACAACTACAATTACTAAAGTGTAGCGCAAAATTTCGAACACTGTACTTTAGCATTTCTCAACAGCAAAAAGCGGAAACAACAAAAATAAAATAATATTTTAAGGAAAAATAAAAAGGAGAGCAGGCAGACAAACCGCCACCGCCTGCCTGTTAACCAGCTACCAAGCATAGAACAGGCGCGGCACACATGTGGCAACATAACCGAGACATTGCTGACAAGCTGAGAGACACCAAGGAACATTAACAAATACAATTTTATAAAAAAAAAATAAGACAAGAAACAATATTGTGTACATGCAGCAGGATCGAGTATAACAAATTGAAAAGCAAGCCGTATAATAGCGTGGTGAGAGCGCGCGCATATGTATTATGTTTAATATTCCAAGGAGGAGAGCGCGTAGAATGGCAAAATGTTTAATGGTGGTTAAACAACATTGCATGCGTAGAGAAGACATAAATAAAACTACAATATGGCGTACAAGGAAAAATAATAATTTTATACAAAGTAGCGGGCAAACAAGCTACTTAAAAATATATACAATAAATATGTATCTGGTAGCTGTGCATATGCATTTTGTGCAGCAGAGGTCAGCGTCACAAAAAACGAAAGAGATAGCAAGTAAATTTGCTTGAGAAAAAATTTAAATAATTTTTTTTGTATCATATCTTGCGCTCGTGAAAGGCAATGAGAGAGAAGTTATAAAAAAAAAAAACAAGAACAATATATAAAGACTTGCAACAACCACAAAAGGGAGACGCTAAAATCCGCAGTGGCGGCAGCAACTATAAAAACAATAATGATGTATTTTTGCGTATGTAGTTATATACTATGGCATATAAGTATTTATGCGTATGCGAAGCAAGCTACAGAAATCAATAACAATTTTTAAATAGTAAAATAAAAAACTGTAAATTATTAAACCTCCATATTGTTATTACAACAGAACACTGCTGAAAAACAGTCCTTGTCAGGGATATATACATATATATTTGCCTAATTAATCGGACCGTCTTGTGTACCTTATTGTTGTAGTTGTTGTATCGATTAACCAAAATCGTATCTAATTGTGAGCTGGTAGAAAGTTATTAACACTAGAACTACGAAGGCTTACCATATTCCTATTTCAAATAGGCCTCTCTCTCTCTGAAAATTAGAAGCGTAAGAACAAAATAATCTATAATATTATTTAATACACAAATTTAATAAAAATCATGACATTATCGTAAAACATTAAAAAGGAATAAATAGGAAATTATATAAATAAATGATGCAACCGGTAATTTTGACCGGTTCGTAGTTCTAGTGTTAAGTTCATACATATATTATTAACATTAACCTATGCGAAAAATCTAACCTCAAATTTTAAATACATGAACGTTTTTTGGAAAGATGGTAAAAAGCTAGTAGAGCAGAACACAAATTCTTCAATATGTACAAAGATAACTAGATTCATTATCCGCCCACCCCTTACGTTTTAATTTGGCAACATCGCTGTTAACTAAAATAACAGCTTTCCAAATAAACATACATACATATCTACAAAAAATGTTGGCGCAAAATTTACAATATTAAAGTTACCGCGAGATATTTTTATATGTATGTGAAAATTTACGTGCACACATATAAATGTTAACAAAACCAGAATTTTAAATACACACGTACATATATACATACAGCTATACATATACGAACATACATTTAGGCTAAGAGCAAGAAAGGATGAGGTATCTAGTGGATGAAATGTACCGAAACAGGAAACAAAAATAAAAGCAATAAGAAATGGATTTTCAACAAAAATAAACAAATACGATAACTCAGAGAGCGCAAAACCAAAAGACAGCACTGAGCACAAGAAAGAGAGAATTTATAAATAAACAAAACGTTTGATTGCCACTACGTTAATAAGGTGAGACTAATGATGGTAAAATTTAAGATAGTTTTTTATATAATGGTAGTGGTGTACAAAATTTAGAGTAAAATGTAGCAACATTTATTTTTTAGGTTCAGTTGGTAAAGTATTATTAAATATTTTGTATATAAATTTTTCATTTTTTTAGTAGGTATTTAATTTAAAATAAAAATAATTTTATAAGCTTAATAATCCATATAAAAATTACAAGATTAAACTATGGTTGTAAGTTTTATTTTTATATCAGAAACCTTACACATTTTTATTCGAGCACATTGTATTCAACCCTAATGCACGACGCCAAACTTGGTAACCTTGTCAAGGATTTAAACAAAATTTTGCGATGAGCGCGCTACATATAGAAAAATAGAGGGATGAACATAAGTACAAATCAAAAAAAACATATTTTAAAATATGCAATGTACTAATATCAGGCCTACAAATGCGGCTTATTATTATTTTTACAGAAACAAAAACGCCAATAAGTGAATTGTGCGTGACAAGCTATTTACAAACTTCGCAGTATAAAATCAAAGAACACATTACATAAAATAATGACAAAAGGACGGCGAGATGTGCAGGAAAGCGATGTATACATAGTGCAACATTAACTTTTGCTGTGTCATGCAGAGGGGAAGGAAACTTTGTTAAATACCAATGTGAAGACGATGGAGAAGAAATATGTTGCAAAAAAAAAACAGCGACGAATGGATAAGTGAATAAATTAATGTATATGTACGTACATATTTTCGTATATATAGATATGTACATATTTATATGTGTATGCAATTTTTTTTTTGTAGGGAAGCCTGTACGTACACAACTTGAATAACGCTTGCTGGGGAGCCAGTGCTTCTTAACTTTACCAAATCATGTCACATTGCTAGCAAAATGCAGCAGCGAAAGAATCAGACGTTTCTAAAATTAGCAATAATATAGGAGGGTGGGTTTTGATTTTTTTTACAATAGGCACCAACTTTTCTGAGTGTATAAGTGGAATTAACATAGAATTGACACATCTTTCATTGATATAGCTAATCAAACATAACTTCCTCCATACGATTATTTGTCACAATCTGCATGATCCATATTAAAAATCACCAAGTGTGACTCGTCAATCGCAGCATTATATTGTAAACTTGCTTTTTTCCTTTTTTTGTTTTTGATTTTTATACAAAAAAAATTATCACTCAATTTATGCCAAAACATTGCACTTTAGCGCAGGCACGCTTCGCATATGAAAAGTATATAATAAAACTAGTAACAGTAATAACCACCAATAAGGTAGGGGACAGGAAAAAATTAAAAACAAGCTGTGCATAATAAAAATATAACAACAGCACAAGACAACGCCATTAAAGAGGAGTTTATATGGAAAAAACATAAAAACTAAATACAACGAATACAGCGAAAACTAGCAAAGGAACAAATTCACCGTACATGCTGCACATGGAGATCAAAAACAATCAAACGAAAGAGTCGTAGCCAAGTACAAGGCACGGCAGGAGGCGTCTATATATGCATGCAGACATATATATTTACATATATGTATAGGTATATAATTGCAAGTAAATCTGTGTGCAGCAAGTTAAACTAGCGAAGCACAAAATTTAAGCAATAATCGCAAGGTAGAATAATTCTGTTAAAACTTTTAAAATGAAATACAACAAAGAGTTGATGTTTATGTTTGCAGAAATTATAACTTCATATAAATTATAAGAAAATATAACTATAGTTATACACAATTATATAGCTTCTCAAAAATAGATACATATACCATAGAAATGCGTATGAACTATTTTTGGTGTAACTATGCAAAAGCTAGAGGCTATCACATTATGTTAAAAACTATTTTCACTTATTTCATATTTTTAAAACTCACCTTAATTCATCGATAAAAGAACGCGGCTTTTTATTACCATTATTATGTGCACATAAAAACTCATGCGAATACATACACAGTTATTCAATGGACACTAAACTTAAGTAAAATTAAATTTAGTACTTTCACTGTAGCTATGCTATATACTTCATTTACTAATTTATTGATTTTTCACATTCACTAAGACGATGCGACGCTCTTCACTTTGGCACACACTAAATACATTTAAATTTTTATTCACGAATTTTTTGCGTCCCTCCGCCACTGTACACTTTATTTGCTCTTTTTTTGCACAATTACAATTGTTTACATGCCTTGTTTGTTGGCTATTGTGACTCCGTGAGACTTGAGTTTGTCCGCACGCGCGGGTTCACTTGCTTACACAGGGTGGTATTTAATGGGCTAACTTTATTAAGTTATATAAAATTGCAATCTGGTACAATTAAATTTATAATTATAAAAACAGGCTCTATAGATTTGAATAAGCAGCTATGATGAAAATGCTTGATTGAACATTTTTATAGATTCTCTTCGTTCACGTCACGTTATTAACGTTGTAAAACAATTTTTGTTCTATAGTATCGAAAAAAAAAATTTTATTCGAGACGTATTCAATATTTATAAATCATTCAGTTTTACAGCCAAAGTCACTGCGCTTAAAATTTACAGCCCTGTCGATTATTTAAAAGCAGCCAACTTTTCTATGCATAAAATCCTACACTGCGAAAACCTGTACCTAAAAATATAAAAAATAGCATAAATAATTAATATGGAAATAATATATATGAACAAAAATGAATTGTGCAGCATTTTTTAGTCTATTCTGATTTTGGGAAATTTACCAATATTAAATTTATTTTCTAAAAATATAAAGCTTACGCTTGTTTTATGATTTCAATATCTTATCTGGAATATTTAAAATTATAAAACAAAGTTTTGTAACTTATAATTAACTTGTTCATTATTCGCTTTATAATTTTTATATAGTTTTATTTATTAAAGGGCTATCTAAAATTCCTCTTTTTTTATTGCAATCGAAAATCGAACAGTTCTTGTTGTGAATTCACCATGGAACGAATGCAATCGTATTTGCTTAAGTGATTTTGACATCAGTTGAGGAGTTTCATTTGTCAGAAGGAATTTTTCTTGTCATTTTCGCTTTTCGGTGGTGGAGAAATCAATATGGTTAAACTCGTTTTAAGTGCAATTTAAGTGGATTTTAAATGCGAATTTAACCAAATAATTAATAAAGAAAGCTTCAACGATAAATGGTAATTGTGTGGCATATGAAATATACCGAAAAATAAGTTTCTGTGCAAAGAAAGATGAATTTGTTGTAACATTATAAAGTGACCGAAAAGGAAAAGTGGAAATTTTTCAAGTTGGCTAGAGAAAGGGTAGACGACGTAAACGACGAAGAAACATGGTAGAAACAGAGATACTGTAGATAACTACAATAAAAAATGACTATCATTCGGAAAAGTTAAATACATAGCTTGTCATCTCATTCTAACTAATATGTTAAGGTATTGGATATCATGTTGTAGCTACGTTTGTTGCGCTTGTTGGTGGTGGGCGGTTGTTGACTAGCAATGAAGCATTACTTATTGCCGTATTCATGCATACATATTTTTTGTTTATGTGGCATACGTGGATTTTACAAAGCATTCTAGGTGTTTTAAACGAATTCTGTAGTTAGCTAAAGGCGTTGATTAATTGTAATTACCTGCGTTGTTGTTGTTTTTGTGCGTTCGTACGTATGTCACACATTTGCTTTCTGTAAAATGCAGCATCACTTCATACATTTAATTCGTTTGCACTAAATAGCTGTGGTGAATTATACAGCCTAGTTGTTTTTTCTTAAGTTCCTTCATACTTTTTGCATACTGAAAAACATGTATTTCTTTAATTTGGCATATGGAATATTAGAAGCAAACATGTAGTACCCTTCAAAACGCGTATTATTTCGAAAATTTCCGATTAGGTCATTCTTACCAAAGTATTTAACTTTGAATTCACCACAATTTATTATTTTTTATTTCTTTTCAATTCGCCGTTTTCGCTGTCAGTGGTGCACTTTCTTTTGCTTAATTTTTCATTGCTGTCAAATGAAAAAAAACCAACGACATCGATGAGCAGTAAACGAGTTCCAGTGCAAAGTTAAAACCAATGCTGCTAAATTTTGTATAATTTTTTCACATTACCAGTTATTATATTTTGAATGATAAAATATTGCGAATGTAATCAAAATTTTAATGTAATATAGTAAGTTTATGATTTTTAAAAGTAAAAATTGGTGTATGTAGAACCATCACTTTTTTTTTTGTGCATTTGCTCATTGACATTTACTTTCTTTGTGAGGCGGTGACGTTCCAAAGTGAATCGGAGTAATTTTTCTATCTACCCACTTTCCGTGCGGTCACGTAGTTTTTTTTTTATAGAGCATTACACTTTATATACCTTGTGAAGATCTATTGAATTTATAATAACATAATTTTCTTTGAAATTTCAGTGTTTTTGTGGACAAAGCAAAGCAAAAGTGAACAGGTCAAAAGTCTTGTAATATACGGATGTGTGTTTTGTAACACCGAGAAGTGAATCTGAACATTGAAGTCAATTTTAAAAAGTAAAGTTTTTACGTAAAGCAATTATTGAATTGCAGTGATTTCATTAGCTCGGCATTACATATTGAAATGCCATTCATTTAATCTTTAATTTTTTTTCATGTTATCTCTTTTCGCTGTAATTTTAAATGCAGAAGGTTCACTGAGAAGAGATTAATAATTAAATAAAGTGAATAAGTGCTAAATAAACGCTGGCAAAACGAAAAACAACTAATAGCAAAAGCACGCAATCGATCGAACGAAAAAAAAAGAGTTTTAAGAAATTAAAATTAATTTAAATAGTGCGAAAGGTGTCAACTATAAGATAACACAGTGCGATCCTGAAGCACTAACTCATAACCGCAATCATAATTGCAGCAACGTTGCAGTTAAAGATAAGGAGTGTGTCAATATTGTAGCTGCATAAAATGACGCAAGTTTTGCCTATACGCTTCCAGGAGCATTTACAGGTGAGTGTTAGAATCATAGCTTTGAAGATTTTGAAACATTTTTTGTAGGTTATTTAAAATTTTCGGACAGCATATTTGGTATAAAAATATGTTTGAGTGTTTTATCGGATAATAACCATTAAAAATTATGGTAAATGTATAGTTTAGGTCCCCCAACTAAGGAACCAAAATTATCATCTAATTCTTCAGTGTTACTAAAAAAAAACTCCCACTTTTCCGCTGTTCTCTTCAGCGCCCACAAGAAAAATTCAGTTTCATTATCGGCCTCCTGTGCTATAAAAAGCTCCAGAGATTATTCTTATATATACATACATATATGTATTGTACGTTTTCATTGAGTTGTGATAAGAAGACTGTTTTTTCATGTTTGCCTTATACACCCACATAAATCCTACATCAAATCACCGCTACATTTCCAACAATTGCTTGGTACATATGTATGTATATAAACATGGGTATATAAAGCAGGAAAATAATATAAATTTAAACTAGTTATCTTACTTGCACGGTTTTTTGATCAAAAATGAAACTGAAATTGAAACGCATTGTAGTTTACAATATATGTATAAAAAAAATTGTATTACCGAGTGTATCGGTGACTGGTGCAACCGGCCGCCGGTTCGCTCATTATTTGTGTGTTCACTTGCGGCATTCCGGCACATTGCTGCGCTCAGTATAGCCGCTACTGTCATTCAATATATTTATGCGCCGTATACGTCTATGTATTTGTGTATGTGCCAGCATGTTTTAGTGTTCAAACAGCGAAAAATGTGACTCATCACTTGGCGTTTGGGGGTTAACGCAAATATTTCTTTTTATTTCTTCGGCTGTGTATTAAAATAGATGCATTATCTAAAAAATGAAATGGAATTCATAGTTCAGGTTCAAATTGTCAGATCAAATCATACGTTTCTAGGAATTACTTTTTTGAAATATTTTGTATTATACATTTTGCAGCATTAAATATTTCACTCAACGTCATTTGCTAATATTTTCTTTCATTCTTCATTATCTAATCACTAATTTTATGTTTTCTACATAATTGTTTTCTGCCTTTTCACCGTCAATAGTCGGTATGCGTTTGTCCAATGTAGCACTGACACCAATTCATCTCACGCTGTTGGCTATTCATTTCAGTTACATCAATAGTTCTTCTTTAACTATTACATACTTCTTACTGTGTTTCTTTTGAATTTTCGTTTTGGCTTCAGCTTCTGAACCGGTTCGTTGCCTTTATTTAAGTACAACGCGCTGGTTGAGTGAGCTTACTCATACTTTTGCGTCTTTTCCACTTTCTTATGATATTTGTGATTTATTAAAATTTATTTTCAACTTGTCTAGTATTGTAGTGAAAAAATATACAAATTTACAATTACTCCATTGAGTCTACCTGGTGGTGATTTAGCTTATTCACAGTCACTGTAATATGAGTATGTGCATTTGTATGTATTGTATTCAGGTATGCGTACTGTGACTCAAGCTTAATTTTTGTTAACCCATTGGTGCCAGAGAAACCTTTTCTGGCATAACAATGATTTTCGTTAGTTGCGGTTAAGGTTTCTTCATATTCTCTTCATTAATTCATAATTAGATTATTAACTGTGGGCCACAACTGAACACAATTGGTATATACTGTTATATGTTTGTATATGTTTATGTACCACTGTCAACAAATTTTATTTGTTACGTGCTTCTTTATGCACTATGCTGATTTCGTATACCCGAGTTCATTAATCCCATTTCAGAGCGTTGGTCACGTTTCCCGCGAAGTAAAACTTTCATGAAATTTTAATATTTGTCTTTTTAATAAAAAAATATTTATACCCTTAACAGGGTATATTAAATTTGCCACGAATTTTGTAGCACCAATAAGTAAACGTCGGAGACCCTTAAAGTATAAGTAAGTATATGTACATACATACATATGTATATAAATGAACGGAGTGACGAATCATGTCCGTCTGTCGGTATGTACGCGAACTAGTCCCTCAGTTTTTGAGGTATCGTTCTGAAATTCCTTAAGAAGCTGCTCAGTTGTCGGAACCACTGAAATCGGACCACTATAGCGTGTAGCTACCATACGTATGTATGTATGTATTTATGTAAATAATTCCACATACAATCACATTAATACTTGACCCACTGCTACTCAGTGGCATTACCGTACATATGTTTATACATATGTACATTCATATTATAGTAACAGAACTAAACTATAACGAAAATGCATTTTATGCCGTTATCCTCATTATAACTAATGTACTCGTATGTATGTATGCATGTATAGCTTTATTTGTACACATCTACACATCTACAATGTGTGTTCATTCGTCTGCTTCACCGCACAATAACAATAGTCAACTTTTACTGCTCCACAATTATTTACATTATTATCAATCACTTGTTGTTTTTGTTAACTCCCCTTATAGGCTCATACATAAATGCATGTGTTGATCTTACTTTATTCAACAGGCGAGTTTTCTAATGCTATGTGCTTCCATATGCTCTAAAGTATAAGCGAAAATTTGGAAAAAAGTGGAGTGTATTAGCAGATTACATGATACAAAAAGCAAAATCTTTCATATACATACATACATACATATGTATTATTATTTAATATACTCTGAAATAAAATTTATTATTTCACCTAATATCTAATTCCTCTTATAATGATTGAATAATTTCATAAAAAAATTGCAATTTAATTATTTTCAAAAATAGTATTTTTTTTTAATAAGATATACTTATGTACATATGCATATATATAAAGCCACGAACATTCACCTAACACCGTTTGCTCAGTTGGGCCCATGGAATTTGCAATCTTTAGTCAAATGAGTTCAAGCACACAAAAACGTATCCGTTTTTAACATATTCAACGTTTACACTAAGCTTCTTAGTAGATTCTAATAATTAGCGTGTAAATATTGAATACATATTTGCGAATCTAGCGTGTGATAGGTAAACCAAACAAGAGCTAAAGTTCTGTTTTATGGATCATTTTTTTTTTAAATCCTAGAAGTTTGTAAATTTCAATTATAAGAAGTTTAAAAAAAAGTACGTGTGGCACTCGGGGACTGCTGCGGTAAAGCTTTTTTTTATCAACTTATGCAATTATAATATTTGATATTAATTCAAGTTACACATTTTGAGCGTGGTGGTCGATAAGAAAACAATTTTTTGATATTTGAATAAATGAGAGGTTGTGTAGTAGGTTATTCAGGAATTTTTATAATTGAAACTATAGGTTTATGGCAACTGAAATAAGAAACATAAGTTTGAGATTTGATATTCTCTAAATATCTGGAAAATATCGCGTCAATAGTGGTCCCATATTTTTGGATATTGATTCTTGTGGATAATTATTCATTTTCAGCTCTGATATTTTATCAGCGTAGTTGATGTTGAAATCGCCAGCCAAGATAAGTAGAAATTTATTAGCATTGATAATTCTATTGAAATACCTTATATCAATTGTATTGTTCAAGTCAAACGTGAAACTGTTCCAAAAGATGGGGTAGCTATTTACCAAAATAATAATAATGTTAGTAATATTATGACTCTGAATATTGAAGAATTTATTTTTTTTATATAAATTTTATTATTTTATTTGCCATTAAAAAAAGTGTATCTTAAATAGTATTATTTTTGAATCACTCTCTCTTCAATTGATTTGTTCCGCTTGAGATATGCGCAAATACGCCTAAAAGTTTGCAAACATTTTGCGCATACTTTGTGATCGTGTTAGGTTTTCTTACGTTACGGAATTTCTTGCAACTAATATAAACTGACATTTCTGGACGCCTACAATTATGCCTTAATTGTATGCTATAATTACTGATGTATAATATAATATATGTAAAATGTGAATTTTCGAATAACATTTGTGAAAACGATGACAATAATAACGCTTTAGCGCCTAAAAGTATGCTTTATTTTTTATATAAGTTTTAATAGTTCGTTTATATAATGAAATGTGTAAGTGTAGGAAAAAGAGGTTAACTGAAAACTCGTATATATTGTATTGCATAAATAATCAACTCCTGAATGTATACTTCAAAATTAAACGATATTCCATACTTCAAGATTATTATTGTAACGGCATACTTATACGTACAAATGTATTAGTGTATTATAGCCGCAATGGCGTTAAATTGGGTTATTTTTGTTTTTTTATCGCATTCTGCTTAGCAATCGTTTTGAAATCAAACAAAGAAATGCGCAGCAGCATTTCCGATGAAGAAATCAACAATTACGTCTCGATATTTAGAATCGCTTGCAATATTTTTGAGAGCTGCTCTCTCTTTCTTTCTGTGTTCTGTGTGTGTGAGAATTTGCAGATGCGCCATCGCATCTTATCGCCGTCAACTGACGGAAGTTTTTCCCTTTCAAAAACATAGAATTGAAAAACATTTTTCATCTAATCGTGATCACTCATCCGTCGGCCGGCTTCGCGGTCTTTATTTAGCTGATGCCATTGAATTTCTATTGAGAAAATAGCAAATTGCATATTTTAAAAATATACTGAGTGTTTTTTTTGTTGCTCTTGCTGTTTTTTACTAATAGTTTATTGCACTTCAAAATAAATCGTACTCACATTGCGTTTCGTGCGCCACTCAAGTGCTGCAGTATGTGTGTACGCCTTTCGCTTATCACTGATTATGCTCTAGTCACAAAGAGTTCAAAAAGCTTGTTAATTTTTCTTATGACTTTGACGCAGTTAGGCTCATAATGCATTTTGTATTTATTCTATAATATATTTTATATTTGCTCATGTGATTTGTCTCTAAATCTACTATGTACTTGTTGTTTCTGTTTTTGTTGTTTGCATTGTACGAAAAATTTGGCCGCAATTTTCTTTAGGCACATGCCGACTTGCGGGCGCTATTGGAGCTAGAAGGGCTTGTATTGGGTGTAAACAAATGTTAACCTTGAACTCGACAGAATTTTTTTTCAGAAAAAAATTAATAAAAATAGAAAATGTTGGCGCTAAATGAAAATGATGACGCGGTTTTACTTCCTTTTATCTATTTTGTTTTTTTTTTTGGATTTTATTCCTTTGTTTTTCAATTTTTTATTATTATATATATTTTAATTTTTATCATTTTTATTACTATTATCATTTTGTTTTTATAATTTTTTTAAATTGCTTTTTTTATAATTAAAAAATTTTTTTTTATAATTTTTTATTTTTTTTTATAATTTGTTTATTTATTATTATTTTTTTAATAAGCATGCGTTTTTATTTTCTTTTGGCTATTTTACTTTATTTATTTGTTTTGGCATTTATGTACATTTTTTTTTGGTATTTTATATATTTTGTTTTTATTCCTTTGTTTGTAAATTTTTTATTATTATATATATTTTAATTTATATTGTTTTTATTACTATTATCATTTGTTTTTTTTTAATTTTTTATTTGTTTTTATAATTTGTTTATTTATTATTATTGTTTTTAATAAGCGTGCGTTTTTTGTTTTTATTCCTTCGTTTTTAAGTTTTTTATTATTATTATTATATTTTTTTTTATTATTGTTATTATTACTATTATTTTTTTGTTTTTATTTTTTTTTGTACAATTTTTTAAATTTTTTATTATTTTTATTATTTTTTTTTTTTTTTTTGATAATTTATAATGGTTTATTATTTTTATTTTTAAATTTTTTTTTAAATAATTTTTTTAATTTTTATTTTATTTATTATTATTTATATTTATTTTACTCTTACATAATGAAGCGTGCGTTGTCCGTTTTTATTATCTTTTGGCTATTTTACAAATTTTGACATTTATGTACTTTTACCAAAATACATATGTATTCACTTAATAATATCCTTTAAATTTTAATTTATTTCCTTACAGCTCACAAATGTCGGCATCAATATCAATTCGATTTCGTTCAGCACTCTCACCATGGAGTCGGACAAATTCATTTGCGTGCGTGAAAAGGTCAATGACACCGCACAAGTGGTCATTATCGACATGAACGATGTCAGCAACCCGACCCGGCGTCCAATCTCCGCCGACTCGGCCATCATGAATCCAGCCAGCAAAGTTATTGCGCTCAAAGGTAAGGATCACATTTTTTTTTAAATATAAACACGATTATATGTATTTGTAAGGGAGGAGGGGATTGGTGCAGGGGTCGCTGGGCCAAGCACCAAACTCTCCATTCCCATGGGAAGTTTCCCAAGCATTTTCCAAGCTGAGGTCTATGCTATAAGTCGGTGTGTAGGGATAAACCTCCAACGCAACTATCGCAATAAGAGTATCGCTATACTCAGCGATAGTCAGGCGGCACTAAGAGCGATCTCAGCCTATGAGGTCAGATCTCTCCTAGTGATGGAGTGTATAGAACGGCTGAACAGCCTATCTAAGCAAAACCGAGTACACCTTATTTGGGTGCCTGGCCATAGGGGTATAGCTGGGAACGAACTAGCTGACGAATTAGCCCGCTCTGCAGCCTCTACAAAAATGGTAGGGCCGGAACCATACATAGCGGTTGGTCCTCATACCATCAAAGAGCTCCTCCGAAGGGAGGAAAGAGCAAGCAGGGAGATACATTGGCAACAACTTCAGGGCATGCACCATGCCAGACTGCTATTGGGGGGTTACGACCTCAAGCGGTTTAAAGCCATAATTAATCTCCCCAGAAACAAATTCCGGCTACTGGCAGCGTTCTACACCGGCCATTGCAGGCTCAAGAAGCACCTCTTTAACATGGGCATAGCCTCTTCTGCAAACTGCCGGTTCTGCGACATAGAGCCGGAAACCCCTGAACATCTGCTGATGAACTGCACAGCAGTCTGCAGACGCAGAATCAAGGCCCTGGGATCCATGTTTCCACACAGGGATCGTATCGCCTCACTAGCACCCAGCAGAATTTTGGAATTTATCAACATGCTGGGCCTAGATGATACGATATGACTTAGGGGAGGGCACAATAGACCATAGGTCGCGGTGCATACCTCGAAACTAATCTAATCTAATCTAATCTAATGTATTTGTAATTGCAGCTCAAAAGACGTTGCAAATCTTCAATATCGAAATGAAATCGAAAATGAAGGCGCACACCATGACCGAGGATGTTGTCTTCTGGAAGTGGATTTCTTTGAACACGCTGGCCTTGGTCACCGAAACCTCTGTCTATCATTGGTCCATGGAAGGCGATTCCACACCGCAAAAAATGTTTGATCGCCATTCATCGTTGAATGGCTGTCAAATTATCAACTATCGTTGCAATCCAACGCAACAATGGTTGTTGTTGGTGGGCATATCGGCATTGCCAAATCGTGTGGCCGGTGCTATGCAGTTGTACTCGGTGGAGCGCAAGGTCTCACAGGCCATCGAAGGTGAGTGCCGATTATTGTAAATATTGTCTACAATTTATAAAAATTAATTAAATATTTTTCTTTTTTTTTTGCACTTAATTTTACGTGCTATGTCACGCAGGTCACGCTGCCTCTTTTGCCAGCTTCAAGTTGGAGGGCAACAAGGAGGCATCGACACTGTTTTGCTTCGCTGTGCGTACCGCAAGCGGTGGTAAATTGCATATTATCGAAGTAGGTGCACCACCGGCTGGCAATCAGCCTTTCCCCAAGAAGTCGGTGGATGTGTTCTTCCCACCGGAGGCGCAAAGCGATTTCCCTGTCGCCATGCAAGTTTCAGCCAAATATGATACCATTTATTTGATCACCAAATATGGCTATATCCATCTATATGACATGGAAACGGCCACGTGCATCTACATGAATCGTATCTCGGCCGATACGATCTTTGTGACGGCACCGCACGAGGCCAGTGGCGGCATTATCGGTGTTAATCGCAAGGGGCAAGTACTCTCTGTGACCGTCGATGAGGAGCAAATCATACCGTACATCAATACGGTATTGCAGAATCCCGATTTGGCTTTACGCATGGCCGTGCGCAATAATCTCTCCGGCGCTGAGGATCTCTTTGTGCGTAAATTCAATAAACTTTTTACAGCAGGTCAATACGCCGAAGCGGCTAAGGTGGCGGCGCTCGCACCAAAGGGTATCTTGCGTACACCGCAAACAATACAACGCTTTCAGCAGGTGCAGTCGCCTGCTGGCTCTACGACACCACCACTCTTACAATACTTTGGCATACTACTTGATCAGGGCAAACTGAACAAGTACGAGTCGCTGGAGTTGTGCCGCCCAGTCTTGGTGCAGGGCAAGAAACAGTTATGTGAAAAGTGGTTGAAGGAGGAGAAACTCGAGTGCAGCGAGGAGTTGGGTGATTTGGTGAAGACATCCGATTTGACATTAGCGCTATCAATTTACTTGCGCGCCAATGTGCCCAATAAGGTTATACAGTGTTTCGCCGAGACAGGACAATTCCAAAAGATCGTATTATACGCTAAAAAGGTCAACTATACGCCCGATTATATATTCCTTTTGCGTTCGGTGATGCGCACCAATCCGGAACAGGGCGCCGGTTTCGCTTCGATGTTGGTGGCCGAAGAGGAGGAACCATTAGCCGATATCAATCAGATTGTCGATATATTTATGGAGCATTCAATGGTGCAGCAATGTACTGCCTTCCTGCTGGACGCACTCAAGCATAATCGCCCGAATGAGGGTGCTTTGCAGACGCGTTTATTGGAAATGAATTTGGTATCGGCGCCACAAGTAGCTGATGCTATACTCGGCAATGCTATGTTTACGCATTACGATCGTGCGCACATCGCACAACTATGCGAGAAGGCCGGTTTGTTGCAACGCGCATTGGAACACTACACCGACTTGTATGACATCAAGCGCGCTGTGGTGCATACGCATCTGCTGAATGCCGATTGGCTGGTGGGCTACTTTGGCACGCTATCCGTGGAGGACTCGCTGGAGTGCTTGAAAGCCATGTTGACGGCGAATATACGCCAAAACTTGCAGATCTGCGTGCAAATCGCTACCAAATATCACGAGCAATTGACCACAAAAGCGTTGATTGATCTCTTCGAGAGTTTCAAATCTTACGAGGGACTCTTCTACTTCCTCGGCTCGATCGTTAACTACTCGCAGGATCCCGAGGTGCATTTCAAGTATATACAGGCGGCTTGCAAAACCAATCAAATCAAGGAAGTGGAACGCATTTGTCGGGAATCAAACTGTTATAATGCGGAACGCGTTAAGAATTTCCTAAAGGAGGCCAAACTGACCGATCAGTTGCCGCTTATTATTGTTTGTGATCGTTTCGACTTCGTGCACGATCTAGTACTCTACCTGTACCGCAACAATCTACAGAAATATATTGAAATTTACGTGCAAAAAGTGAATCCATCACGTTTGCCTGTTGTCGTTGGTGGTCTCTTGGACGTTGATTGCTCTGAGGATATTATCAAAAATTTGATACTTGTCGTAAAGGGCCAGTTCTCGACCGATGAGCTAGTGGCTGAAGTGGAGAAGCGTAATCGTTTGAAATTACTATTGCCGTGGTTGGAGTCGCGCGTGCATGACGGTTGTGTTGAGCCCGCTACGCACAATGCATTGGCTAAGATCTATATCGATTCGAATAATAATCCGGAACGTTTCCTCAAGGAGAACCAATACTACGATAGTCGCGTGGTCGGACGTTATTGCGAGAAACGCGATCCCCATTTAGCATGCGTAGCCTACGAACGTGGTCAATGTGATCGCGAGCTGATCGCTGTTTGCAATGAGAATTCGCTGTTCAAGAGCGAAGCGCGTTATTTGGTGCGTCGTCGCGACCCCGCCCTCTGGGTGGAAGTGTTGTCCGAATCAAATCCCTACAAGCGCCAATTGATTGATCAGGTCGTGCAGACAGCGTTGTCTGAAACACAGGACCCAGACGATATCTCTGTGACGGTGAAGGCCTTCATGACCGCTGATCTACCCAATGAGTTAATTGAATTGCTCGAAAAAATTATTCTTGACTCGTCTGTGTTCTCCGACCATCGCAATTTGCAAAATTTGCTGATCTTGACCGCTATCAAGGCCGATCGCACACGCGTCATGGACTATATCAATCGTTTGGACAACTACGATGCGCCCGATATTGCGAATATCGCTATTTCGAATCAATTGTACGAAGAGGCATTCGCCATCTTCAAGAAATTCGATGTGAATACCTCAGCTATACAGGTGCTTATCGAGCAGGTGAATAATTTGGAGCGCGCTAATGAGTTCGCCGAGCGCTGCAACGAGCCGGCCGTTTGGTCACAGCTCGCCAAAGCACAATTGCAACAAGGACTCGTTAAGGAGGCCATTGACTCGTACATCAAAGCCGACGATCCAAGCGCGTACATGGATGTGGTGGATGTCGCCTCGAAGGCCGACTCCTGGGACGATCTGGTGCGTTATCTACAGATGGCACGCAAGAAGGCGCGCGAGTCGTATATTGAAAGCGAACTGATCTATGCCTATGCGCGTACCGGACGTCTCGCTGATTTGGAGGAATTCATTTCGGGTCCGAATCATGCCGATATACAGAAGATCGGCGATCGTTGCTTTAACGATGGCATGTACGATGCGGCCAAATTGTTGTACAACAACGTGAGCAATTTTGCACGTCTCGCCATAACATTGGTCTATTTGAAGGAGTTCCAGGGCGCCGTAGACTCGGCACGTAAAGCTAATTCGACACGCACCTGGAAGGAGGTGTGCTTCGCTTGTGTCGATGCCGAGGAATTCCGTCTAGCGCAAATGTGCGGTCTGCACATCGTCGTGCACGCCGATGAATTGGAAGATTTAATCAATTACTATCAAGATCGTGGCTACTTTGAGGAGCTCATTGCGTTGTTGGAGTCCGCTTTGGGACTGGAACGCGCACATATGGGCATGTTCACTGAACTGGCTATACTCTATTCGAAATTTAAGCCGTCTAAGATGCGTGAGCATCTCGAGCTGTTCTGGTCGCGTGTCAACATACCAAAAGTGTTGCGCGCAGCCGAATCGGCACACCTTTGGTCCGAACTGGTATTCCTCTACGACAAGTATGAAGAGTACGATAATGCAGTGCTTGCCATGATGGCACATCCGACGGAGGCTTGGCGTGAGGGTCACTTCAAGGACATCATTACTAAAGTGGCCAACATCGAACTCTACTACAAAGCTATACAATTCTATTTGGATTACAAACCATTGTTATTGAACGATATGCTATTGGTGTTGGCACCACGTATGGATCATACACGTGCCGTTAGCTTCTTCTCGAAGACCGGTCATTTGCAATTGGTGAAACCATATTTACGTTCAGTACAATCGCTCAACAATAAGGCGATTAACGAGGCGCTCAACGGGCTACTCATCGACGAGGAGGACTATCAGGGTCTACGTAATTCCATTGATGGTTTTGATAACTTCGACACAATCGCATTGGCACAAAAACTGGAGAAGCACGAATTGACCGAATTTAGACGCATTGCTGCCTATCTGTACAAAGGTAAGTAAGGAAGTAGAAAACTGGCTAAAAATAAGTTGCTTGGTTTAAGGGAAAATGCGAAACGTTGTGGTTTTCTATCATTACAGACCTAGAAACACTGTACAAATATTATGAATTGTATAAACTTTCACTTTAATACTTTTTTAGGCAACAACCGCTGGAAGCAGAGCGTCGAATTGTGCAAAAAGGACAAACTTTACAAGGATGCAATGGAGTATGCGGCTGAGTCGGGCAAGCAGGAGATCGCAGAAGAGCTACTGGGTTGGTTCCTGGAGCGCAATGCCCATGACTGTTTTGCTGCCTGTCTATTCCAAGTGAGTGTGTAGTGGTCGAAAGACAGTATATAGAATAGAACGAGAGAATTTGAAAAAGTTAAAATAAGTGGCAAAAAACCATTTAAAACAGTAATGAAAGCACAATTAGTAGTAGTAAAGATATATTTTAAAACAATTTGTCATTAAAAATAATTTTTTTTGTAAATTTTTTAAAAAAAAATTTTTTTAAATTTTTTTTAGTGTTACGATTTGCTGCGGCCTGATGTTATACTGGAGTTGGCATGGAAACACAATATCATGGACTTCGCCATGCCCTATTTGATACAAGTAAGATTTTTCTAAATTACTGTTGTTTTTTTTTAACAAAATCTTAATTTGTATATGCTTGTTACAGGTAATACGCGAATACACCACCAAAGTGGATAAACTGGAACAAAACGAAGCGCAACGCGAAAAGGAGGACGAAACCGTCGAACACAAGAATATCATCACAATGGAACCACAACTGATGATAACCGCTGGACCGGCTATGGGCATACCACCACAATATGCGCAAAATTATGCGGCGGCGCCTGGCTATGCGCCAAACATGGCTTATCCCGGCTATGGAATGTAGGCAACAACTACAAATACAACACCACCACAACAACCACTACTACTACTACATTATTAAAAAGTGAAAATGAAACGAAATTCAACAAAAACAAAAAACTAGCAAAAAATCTAGAACACAATCCGTAACGTTGCAAATATTTGAAACATACAAACACACACTCAAACACAAGTAAAATTGCAAATCGAAAACGAAAATTGAAACGCGAAATCAAAATTTCCCATGTAAATGTAGTTGTAGTTAGAGCGTATAAACGCTATAGCAGGGAAATACAAGCGAAAACACTGCATTACATACACATATATATATATATATATATATATAAATACATATATACATACAAAGCGAAACAAAACAAAACAAAAACAAAGAGCGTTAGGCGTGTGTGTGTTCGGCATAGATTTTGCATATATTAAACTATATACAATTATACATAAATGTATTACAAGTATATATATAATAATTATTATTTACACATATACATTACCATTATTACGATTACCAATTAAAATTATAATTACAAGTTGTTTGTTTAATTAATTATTTCGTGCTTTGTTGTCTCTTCTTTGCATATATATAATTCAAATATTGTGTTTTTTTTTGTATTTGTATTTGATGTATTTGAACTTATTTCATTACTGTACTGTTATAACTCCTCAATTGCTTGACTTGTCATGTTTCGATGCTGAAAACATAAAAAAAAAATAATGATCCAAAAAGAAAATCCGTATTACAAAGCACGTGTAGTGTTGAACAAATGATGAAGAGAACCAACAAGAACACCAACAAATAACGTAAATGAAATGAAAAATTTATGCTAATTTTTTTGTCTTGATTATAAGTAAAAATAAAAACTTTTTAGTTAATAAATATCTATTAATAAAAAAACAAGAGGAACATTTTTATTTATACGAGGAAGTATATAAAAGTTAAATATAGACCACAAAATATGTCTTTAAAAAGTAAAAACTTTTTGCGTCAATATATTTTCGAAAATTTATTACAACTATTTTCGAAAATTAATTACAACTGTTTTCGAAAATATAGCTTTAAGAAAATAGCTAAGCAGCGTTGCAAATTTTTTCGTTTAGATTTTCTTTATTAAAAAATATTGTAAACAAGTAAATTCAGATAAAATTAAAATTTGAAAATTTCGTAGTATTTTCGAAGTAGTAAACAATAACTTTTTTAAATTTTTAATTATAAGTTTGGGATTAATATTTTTTTAATCCGGCAGTTTGTGTTTAAAGTTTTTTTCAAACGGTACTTGGTATTAACAATTTCTTTGTTTATTCGGTATTTGGGATTAGAAATTTAAACATTTTTTTAATTAAGGTTAACGGGATTACAAAATCGAACAAAAATTTCATTACAAATGTTAATTCAATTATTTTTTTAATGTATTATTTGTAACGCTGTATAGAAAGTAGCACGGAGTAATTAACAAGTTTGATCAATAAACTTCAAAAAAATTAAAAATATTTAAATAAAAAAAAAATATTAATTTTATTAAAAAATATTATTTTAATTATTTAATGATTTTCTGAGAAAATCTGCAAATATATTGAGTTGAAAAAATGAATACTACATTCCTTTGAACAGTTTTGAAATTCAAATTATGCTTCTATATTTTTTAAAAACATTTTTTTTTTATTTCAATAATTAAACAACTATCACGCTTTTTCAGTATTACTTAAAAAAATATCGCTACTAAAAGTTTGAGTCATTTGAGAAAAAAGATTAATAAACATTTTTCAATTTCTTTACTCTCTTTTTTACAGTTACAAATAAGGTAAACGTCAAATCAAACTACACCAACAACCATTCAGTTATATAGCTTGGTTCCTCATTGTCCATGTACAACTGTCTGCCCACTCAAACACGCTCTATAACATATGGTCGCACACTAGAAAACCGTTAAGCGATTATTGGAATTGCATAGGGAAATTAACAGTTATAATTAGAGATTTTTGTTTGGGAAATATGTTTTTAGAGCGTTTTGTACTAAACAAATAGCATTGGAAGAATATAATTTTTGTAAACTTACTTTAAAAAATAAAAAAAATTTAAATTTTTATAAAAAACAGTTTTTTGAAAAAAAAAATTTTTTTTGAAGAAACAGTTTATTTAAAAAAAATTCTTTTTTGAAGAAACAGTTTTTTGGAAAAAAAAATTTTTTTTTGAAGAAACAGCTTTAAGTTACTGATAAAATAATAATGAAATGCCTAATACAGCATAGAATATTGAATGAAAGTTGCATAAAAATGCGAAATGTACATTTCTTGAGGTTTTAATTAAAAAATATAGTATTACAATTCGTATTTTTTTAAACTCCATATTTTGAATTTTTAAAACATATTTTCATTGTACATCGAATTTAAGGCATATGAAGAAGTTGGAAATACGTTTTTATGTGAATATATGTATGTATAATACAAAAAAATATTTTATTAAAAGTTTTACTTTTAAAATTAATTTTTTTCGAAATAATTTCTGTTAGCCTAGAAAGCCAGTAAAAATATCGTATTCACAAATTTTATGTAAAGTGAGGTCTAAAATAATTGTTGTTTTTTTGGAGTTAGTTCCAAAAAAAATTTAAAATTTTCAAAAACACTACAGTACAGAGGAAGGAGAAGCACTTTGAAGGAGAAAATGTAGACACTATGACAGCGCAAGAAAATTTAATTTACAAAAAAATTAAATATACATATTTATGTTTTCGGTGAAATAAAATTTTGAAAATGCAATGCAATATCCAAATAAAAATGCTTTTGTTCGCCTGACCATTGTAAAAACACATAAACAGAGGTAGCGTATTTTAGTAAAGTCATTCATAATGCTAACAACTACAAACAATCACAAAAATAATAGAAAAACTCATTAGAAATGGCTTGGATTGAAATATTAAAAAAACTTACTTTAATAAAAAAATGTTTTAATCAAAAAAAAATTTTTTTTAATAAAAAAAAATGTTATAATTAAAAAAAAAATTTTTGTTTAAAAAACTACATAACAAATTTGAGTAATTAAGTACAACAAAAAAAAAGAAGACATATTAAGTTAACTACAATAAAAATACAAAAAAACATGTTTAAAATAGTAAATTTTTAAGGTTAAAGCATAAAAAATCTTAAAATATAGTTTTGCGCCGTATTTGCAAAGAAAAAGTTATATACGCTAAAATTACAGAAAAGGGAAGCATTTAAAATCATACGTTAAAAAATTAAGTCACAAAAACAAAATAAAACAAAAGTAATAAAATACAAATAAAAGAAACATATTATATTCACTAACTAGTTCACAGATACAGTTTTTGTTGTTGCAAAATTGAAAATATACTACTCTTATTGTTTATTAATGTTAAAAAACGGCAGATTGCAAAGTGTAAAATATGAATATTAAAAATCAGCTATAAAAAATTATATGATAAATATTATTATTGAAAATATTTGTCTCTATTTTATTTAAGCTTTCTGTAATTGTGCTATTTGTGTGTGTATTTTTAAATTATTATAACTGCAACACATACATACATACATTATACATACGGAAATTAAGAAATAAAAAAATACAAAATTGAATTTATTTCTTTTTAATTCAAAAATATTATCAAATTCAGGAAAAGCGTAAAAAGACGCAGCTATAATACCGCTTAAAGATGCATTTCGAATAGCATAAAAGTGTAAAAAAAGATCGGTCAGTTTGTATGACAGCTATGTGCTATAGTGGTACGATCTGAACAATTTGTTTGGATATTGTACCATTGCCTTCGACAATAAATCATACCAAATTTCGTGAAGATATCTTCTCAAATAAAAATGTGTTCCATACAAGGATCTAATTTTGCTCGCTCAGTTTGTATGACAGCTATGTGCTATATAGATCCGACATCGGCGGTTGCGAAAGATGAGAAGCTTCTTGGGGAGAAAATAACGTGTGTTAAGTTTCAGGTCGATATCTCAAAAACAGATGGAGACGGACATGGCTAAATGGACTCAGGGTATGAAAACGCCAAAATGTCAATAACCTAGAGGAATCGAGATTATCCTTCAGTTTGTAAGAGTAAAGTCGAGTTAGAATTTCACAATGACTATTAAGAGCAATTTCACAAGATCTTCAAAAGATTCGAATTCAATTATTGTTCAAATTATAGAAAATACTGTTATAAGTTTCCCATACCATCATTTAAATGGCAATTTTTATTTTACTTAACACAATTCAAAGTACTTGAAACCGTTAAAATCCTTTCAGAGTAAAGTTTATCCTTCAAATTGTACTAAAAAAACAGTCGGACAGGATTTAGAATGGTCTTTGAGAGGAGACTGCGGTTCAGTCTCCTAACAGCAAATACGACTACTGGAAATACAGACGATCTACGTGTACGTGAACTCATCCAAATTCTAAGCCCTATATTATTATTGCTTCATATAGGGTTTAATTCATTCATTCGAATATGGAATTAACAAGCATAGAAGGGTGAGTGACTGACTTCGTTACCAAGACGACAAAATTATTATTGACAAGCAATCAGAAAAAATATTTTACATATTTTACGCACACAAATAATTTCTAACAATATTTTATATTTTAGATTATATACCGAATCGATTAGAAGTTATCTGCCTGATAAAAAAAGATGCCACGTCTCAAGCCCACAACCAAAATCGACGTTATTGGCAATTTGGATTTGAGTCCGGAGAAGGCAGTTGGCGATTATATTGAATCTAAGCAGCAAGATGTATATTTCGTGTAAGTTGCTGTAACGATTTGTCTAGATATTGACTAAAGTGCTGACCTTGAATTCAACTAGCAATAGTTAGAGGCACAGGGCACATAGGGCCAAAACAGTGGGATAATTGCTTTGGTTACAGGGGTCACATATTACTTTATAGAGTTCACCATGCTAATACCTAACTAATATGAACTTTAAACGCTTACTAGCAAACCACCCAATTGGGATTCGGCAGGCGACTCTATTGAACTGCTTTATATACGCAATGAACGTGAGCATGCTGCCATGTTGCGTCTCCAAGATGAGATGCTGGAAAATTCGAAGCGTCAGGCGGCAAGTAATGCCAGTCGCATACGCAAACTCTATAAGATACACGCGCATTTGCGTAAACGCTTCATTGAGGTGAATAATTTCATCAAAGACTGTGAGGATAAGCGGCGTGTAGCTGATAAAAAGATAGCCGAAGAGACCGCACTGCATGCAGAGCTGGCAGAGAATATTGAAAAGTTCAAGCGCGCCATATCGGAGTTGGCTGAGTTTCGTGAAGTGCTGAAAGCGACTGTCGACGATTTGGAGCCATATGAGACGGTCATTCAGGAAGTGGTGGAGAAATCGGAGATATTCGATTCAGTGAAGGATTGTATGGATCGTTGTGATGCGTTAAGTAAGCACATAAGTTCAGCTGTACTTAACGCGTGGCAATTAGATTTTTTTCTTTTTATTTCGTTTATTTTTATGTAGTGTTGGCGCAGGTGGAGATATCACGTTTGGAGCAAGAAAAATTTATGGAAATCGAAGAGATGCGCAAACGTATGGTGAAGGTGACAAATGAGGCCGCATTAACAGTGTTGGGTTTGAAAAACGATTTAGCTGAGCTGGAACGTTCGTATAATAAGGCGCGTAGCGAGTGCCTACATTGGGAGCGTATTTTAGCAAATGCCAAAGATTGCGTGGCCACAAATGAGCTTAATAAGGATCGTGCGTTAGATGGCATACGTGATATTTATAGAATGTTGCGACGCAGGCAAGGTAAGTGTTGGGATAATAGCCACAAATAAAAATTACATGAAAACAAAATTTTAATATTTTATAATACGTATACTTCTATAGAATGTGTTTGCTTAAAATTCCAGGACGTGATCCTTTGTTCCAACGACACGAAGTCGAAAAAGAGTTGGATTTTATTAAAGATGAAATTGAACTGCTGAAGGAAGTGGTAAAAGAGTGTAATAAGACGCGTGCTGGTACTAAACGTGGTTATGTTGAGAAGGTTGAGGACAGATGCTAAATTATAAATACAAATAATATGGTAAAAATATTATATATTATTTTATAAGATATTAAAAAATAACAAAAATAATAATACATAAACCAGCAAAAAAAAAATGAATAAATAATATAATAAAAATAAATAAATTAATAAAATAATAATAAAAATAAATAAATACAAAAAAAAATAAATAAATGAAGTAATAAAAAAAATAAATGAAGTAATAAAAAAAAATAAATAAAATAATAAAAATAAATAAAATAATAAAAAATAAATAAATAAAATAATAAAAAATAAAATAATAAAAAAAAAATTAATAAAACAATAAAAAAATTAATAAATAAAATAAAAAAAAATTAATAAAATAATAAAAAAATTAATAAATAAAATAAAAAAAAAATTTAAATAATAAAAATAATAAAATATTAAGGGTAAAAAAATATTATAAAACAAATTAGTATTAAAAAATGTAATGTAAAAATATAATATAAAAAAATTAAATAATAATAAAAAATAAATAAAATAATAAAAAAATAAATAAAAATAAATGAAATATTTAAAAAAAAATTAAATAACAAAAAAAATAAAATGATAAAAAAAAATTAAAACAATAAAAAAAATGTGGAAAACGGTTGGCCTCAAGGGCCATCCCTGCAACTTCCCGCTAATTTCATACGCTAACGTTCAAATTTCGCTTTTTTCACTGCTTTTGAGATCTTCGAAATTTTTCGTTTTCAATATCTCGCAAGTAAATCAAACGATTTTGACCCGGTTTGCGGCAAACGATGTGTTTTTTCAAGGTTTAGAACTGATTAGTTTTTGGTGTCGATCGGTCAAGTCGTTTGAAAGAAATTCGAAATGTTTGAGATTTCTCAAAATCTACTGGTCCGATTGGGTCCAAACTCACACGAAATTCAAGTGCAATGAAACCCTTTGGAATGTCGTTTAGTTTATTCAAATCGGTTGAGCCGTTTAAAAGTTATAAGAGGGTCACATACATCCGCACACACACACATACATCCTCACATACAGACATACGGACATCATCGTAGAAATGTTCGGGGAAGCTTCCTCGACCCTCAAAACGTCGAGATCTGTTGAGAACTCGATTTTTGCAAAATGGGGTGAAACCAATATCTTCCCGATTTTTAGAAAATTTTCAATTTTCTTAGCGGGAAGTTAAAAATATTAAGAAAAAAAAATATTAAAAAAAAGAATATAAATAAATGTAATATACAAAATATAATATAAAAAAATATAATATAAAAAATACAAAATATAAAAAAATTAAATAAATAAAATAATTAAATAACGAAAAAAATTGTGAATAAAAGAAAAAAGAGGCTAGAAACATAAAATTTGAAACTATATTTATAATTAAAAATAAATAAACATAGAAATTAAAAAATAAAACAAAATATTTAATGTTATTTGTCTATGCAAGAATTATTAAGAAACAACGATAAATTAAAAACATTAATAAAGGTTAAAAAATTAAATGTTTTTACAATAAAAAATATAAATAAAATATAATATGTAACAATAAAAAACATATATAAAATATGTGTGAATAAAAAAATAAAAATATGTACGTATATAATTAAAATGTAAATATATACGTATGTATATAAAATACATAAAATTAAATTAAAAAATAAAATTATAAACAAATATTTTTAAAGATTATAACAAACATAAAATATAAACATTTAATTCTGAAACATAAAAATCAAGTCAAACAAGAGATTATAATATAAAAATTATACAGTTTCATACAAAATACACGATCTTTTATTTTTTTTATTACATTTCACGATAATTTGTGTATCATAGTGACTAATAAACAGTTTTTATTTCATAAAATCCGCAATAAACATATTTATTTATTTACACATTTTATGAAACGATTTAATAAAACTTATGTAATTTTTTTTTTCAATATTAATACATTTTTTGTTCTTTGCGAGTACATACATACTTATTAACGCATATACATATAAAATATTTAAGAAAATGCGTATAATCACATGGGTACATACATATAAATTTTATATATAATAAATCAAATTAATATCCATGAGTGCTTTGTGAAAATAAACGAAATTTAACAATACTGAGTAAGTGGGTATAAAACGAATGTAGAGAATATTATTCAACAATGTAACTCTAAATATAAACATGATCGAAATAGCGCCAAAAATTTGCAACAATTCAATTACGAATTGGTTCGGCCAAACTGTGTGTGTGAAATATTACAAAAAGAGAGTAGAGAATTAATGAAAATTAATACAATTAAATAATACAAAATACATACCGATGTATTTTTATGTAGTCGGAAGCTTCAATGGACATATCTTGTGGTGTCAAGAATACAAATTGACGATTAGGACGTTTTTGGCCTTCAAACTTCAACAAACGCGTCATATATTCGCGATTCACCTCATCCTAAAGCAAAGCGTTATATATTTGGAAAATTTTGTTTGAAAAATTAATTAAAAAAAAAATATATTTTTACATACCGCAAACACATCGTATTCATCGAGAAAGAAGAATGGATGATCTACGCAGGCCCACAGTGATATTAGGAAAGCCACCGTTGTATACGAGCGCTCACCACCGGATAATGAACGCGTATTTGTAACAGCATCGGCGATGTGGTTGTCACGTGGCACCACAGATATTTCCATCGTTTGTTCTTTGTGATCGACCTCGATTTTGCCGGTAAAGCGGCGTTTACTCAGCACATTCTGTAAAGCGTTTGTATGAAATAAAAAAAACAACAATAATAAATAGTAAAAATATGAATAAAAAGTTAACAAATCAAACATAAAAAACCACTTACATTGAAAGTATACTGCAACATGGTAATCATGTGCCCCTTAAAATGTTTCACAAAATACATACGCCGCGAATGTGATTGCTTCAATTGTTCAGTGACCAGTTTGAATGTCTTCAAAGTGCTCCGATCAACGGAAAGTTTACGTTTCAAACGCTTTATTTCCTGCTCTAATTTGTCGGGGTCTTCTTTTAAGGGCGCACCTTGCTTCAATTTAACTTCACCTAATTTGATTTCATCCAGTATCTCATCGGGTGTGCGCTCTGTCTGCACACGTTGGCCACGCTTTTGCGCCACTTTCATTTGTTCATGTAGCTCCTTTAACTTGACGGATTTGTTTCGCTGTGCGAATGTTTAATATGTTAAAAATATAAGCATAGAGACTATTTTTGGTTTTATTAAATATATATAACTATTTATACCCTGAAACTGTATATACCCTAAGTATGCCACGAAGTTTGTAACACGCAGCAGGAAACGTCGGAGACCCAATAAAAAAATATACAATATATAAATGATCAACCTGACGAGCTGACGAGCTGAGTCTACGCGAACTAGTTCCACAATCTTTGAGATAACGACCTGAAGTTTTGCACATGTCCTTTTCTCGCCAAAGAGCTCCTCATTTATCGGAATCGCCGATATCGTACCACTATAGCACATAGCTGGCATACAAACTGAGCGTTAAAAATTAGGTCCTTATATGAAAAACGTTTTTATTTGACAAAATATCTTCACGAAATTTGGTATGGATTATTGTACAAATCAACGCTACAATTTTCCAGCATATTGTACAGAACAGGTTACTAAAGCATATAGCTGCCATACAAACTGAACGAACAAAATCACGTTAAAACTCCTTTTATACCCTTTTATGCTATAAAAATATGCTGCTGTGAAGGGTACTATAACTTCGGTGCAGCCGACGTTAACGTTTATGTACAAACGCTATATGAAACTTACCTCTTCTGTGTGTATACGCTCGTCAATGCGTCGTTTTTTATCTTCAAATTTCTGAAAATTGTCCTGCATGGTGCGCATGTCCATTTGTAATTGGTTTAATTCATTCTGTAAAGCAAGCACATATATATATATATAGGAAAAGTAGGCGATATATGTCTCCTAATATAATAATACTTTCTATATACTTTTTAGAATCTAACACTTCATAATTGTAAAAAACACATTTTAATACATTAATTTACCTCTTTTTCGCGTATATTACGCTGAGTAACCTCTAGTTTATCCGTATGCTTGCGCATTTCAATTTCCACATTCTGCTTTTCAAGCTCAGCTTCAGCATATTCCTTCTTCTTATCCTCCAATTTTCTCTTATATTGCTCTAGTTTACTTTCATTTTCAGCGAGCTCTTTTTGCTTGCGTATAAACAAAAATATAATTGAAAAAATGTCTGCATAAGTATAGTATGACTTTTTCACTTTACCAGTATGCACAATTCATTCGTATTTGGATATTCGTAACTTTCCAAATCGGCAATACGTTGCTCCAGGCGCATAATTTTATCGCGGTGGCGTTGCATTAGCGCTTGCTTCTCTTTAAATTGTTCCAGAGAGGTGCTTAACTCACGTCCTGAATTCGCATAAGCTTCTTGCAGTTTTAATCTTTCGCTTTCGATGGAACGGTAGTTGTCGTTAAGCTGGCTGCGGACGAAAAATATTTCCAAAAGAAAAAAACATATAAAAATTATTATAAATAAAAATATTAAATATTAATATATTATATATAAAAATCTCACAAGCATTACCTAATGCATTCGTCAACATTCATTTGTATCAGCCGTGCTGGTCGTATATTCAACGAGTACATACGATATTTTGGCGCCGGAAAGTACTCCAAAGCCGGTTGTGTGTCTACGATAATTTTACGTAAGTTTTGCGGCACCTGTTCCTGCTGTATGGTTAAATGCTCAGCGGTCTGCTTGGCGTCTGTTAACAGTATGGTCTCAATACCCAACTGATCGATTAAGCAATTCATTACCACAGGATCACGACACTTGATGACGTCATAAAGTAAACGCGTGCCGGCGGGTGGACGTACGCAACCGGCACGCACATCATGTACCTGATAAATTATACATTTAAATATGATTTTGCTTTACATATACACTTACGTACGTACCTTGTTTAAAAATTTCGCCGTTATAATTGTCACATGCATATTGGGGCAGCGTTGCTGTATAATCGAATTCAATAGCGTACGATCGGCTGTATTGTTGACTATGAAGGCGCGCAGCAAATCGGCAATTTGATTTTCGACAACATCACGATATTTTTGCTCAGGTACACTTAAATAACTACCAATAGGACCGCGCGGCCGCTCACTAAATTTCCGTGCGCGATATTGGCGTTCGATCTCTTCCAACAGCGTTTGCATTTCCTGACCATAAATCGAA